GCACATTCCTTATATTCCTACTACTGATATCTGCCATTTACACATTACATCTATAATGTATATAAAGTCATTTGACCCCAACAATGTCCCTGAGAGGCAGAATAGAAAACAGAGGCTCACAGAGTTGGAGGAGTTAGTGGGCTGTAGAGGATTTTAAAACCAGTCTTCTGACCCCAAGTCTACATAAGTAATACACAGGGTAATTGGCAGGTAATGTGTGTTTGGCATGTAGTCAATAAACAATAAAAGTTGGTTGAATGAGTGCATACATGAATGAATGAATAAAAAATAAGAAACTGAATTTCTTGAAATTCCTCAGGAAACACCATTTCCAAATGTAAGTATGAGATCACACATCCTCAGGGAAATGCCCTCAGGAAAGTGCATTTGCCTCCTTAATATTGTCCAGGAATAGCGGGAAGCGCTTCCTTTAATCTAGATTTCTTCGGAAAGTCATTATATAGAAGTGGTTTGGGAACTCTGATCTCTATGTCCCCAGGCTTTTTGCAACAGTGTATAGACAGCCCTGCAGTCGTGGTTAACATGAGGCAAAGCAGCCTTCGCTGGGGAAGTGTATTGTGCACAGATGACAGTGATCAGGTCCAGAGACGGAGCCAGCCCGGCAGAGGAGGAGCAGGTCAAGTCAGCCTCGGCCACGGCCCGTGCTTCCCTCACTTAGATGGAAAATTAATTAATTAATTAATTAATTAATTACCTAGAAATGAACATTTCCAGGGAAGAAGATGCTAGAAGGAGAGCCAAAGAAATTCAATAGAGGTAACTGGGTAGGAGGGACAAATCAGTTAAGAGAGAAAGTCATCGGCCTATAAGCGACTTCTGTCCTTCAAATTCAAATCCACTCTCCCTTTTTCTGGAAGAAAAAAAAAATCACTTACAGGATCTCAGACAAAGGATGTTCAAGCTGGAAGAAATGTAAAGAAAATAAGAATAGCCTTAGCTGGTTTGGCTCAGTGGATAGAGCGCCAGCCTGTGGACTGAAGGGTCCTGGTTAGATTCCAGTCAAGAGCACATGCCCAGGTTGCTAGTTCAATCCCCAGTGGGGGGGGCGGGGGGGGCATGCAGAAGGCAGTTGATCAGTGATTCTCTCTCATCATTGATGTTTCTATCTCTCTCTCTTTCCCTTCTTCTTTGAAATCAATAAAAATATTTTTTTAAAAAAGAAAATAAGAATAATAACTAACACTTACTTATCCCAGGCATGTTCTAAACACTTTAGCTGTATTAGCTCATTCAATCCCCAGCAGTTACTCCTCATCCCCATCTCAGTAACCCTACCTTGTCCAATCCCGGGTACCACTGTTCATATTATCTCCAAGAGCACCAAGTGAATGACAGGCTTGGAGTTGTACAATGCTGCAGCCTTGCCCATTCTACAGTGGAAGAAACATCACCTATCCAGCTACTGACCAAAACAGCAGGTTATTGGCAGGACGGGCTCTAGGATCTTGACCCTCTGCAGTTGAGTCTGGTGCCTGTGCAGTGGGGCATGAGCTACATTTTGGAAGCTGTCAGTGATTTCAGTATCCCTGACTTTAAAGAGCTCACATGAATTCAGGAGGTACTGGTCACACAAGCACATCTGCACCTTCAGGTTCATGCTAATGGTTCCCTCAGCCTCCTGGTTGTATTTGACTTCTCCTTCCTCAAGTTCCCTCCCCAAGGTCGCCACACTCTGACATCCCAGCAGAGCGTAGTTGAGGACATGTGCTCCAAAGTCACACTGCTGTATGACCTTGGGCAACTTTCTGTGCTTCAGTTTCCTCCTCCAGAATGTGGAGATGATAACAGAACTTATTCCTGGGGTTATTATGAGAATTAAATAACTCAATGTTTCTAAAGCAGCTAAAATAGTGCATGGCACATAGTAAGCACAGTATGTAAGTGTTTCATAAAAGGCTGGATTATTAAACAGCTTCCCTCTCCGTCAATATCAAAAGCCTCTCGCTAAAACCCAAATCTGCTCACCACCTGCCTGAATCCACACTATCTATAGCCCTGGTGCTCAAACTGCAGTCTGCACAAGAATCCCTTGTGGTGCTTGTGAGAAATGCAAACTTCTGAGCCACTCCCTAGATTCTGGTTCAGGAAGTCTGGGTGGAGCTCAAGAATCCACACTTTAGGTGTTCCCACAAGAGATTCTTTTCTAGGTGGTCTGAGAGCACAAATTGAGAAAAAGAGGACTCTGGGATAAAGTCCATTTTTTAGCCTGCCTTTCAGTGACCCTGGTCCTCTGGCCTTTGTCCACCATTCTAGCCTCACTGCTCAAAACCCCACCCTTAATCCTGCCAGCCAGGCTTGAGTCAGGAAAAATAAAAAGCCGTGTTAAAGTCAAGCCCAATTGCATTTCTCCATATGATTGCTGTGTTATATGAGATTAGAAAAAAAAAAATAGCTGAGTTGACAACCAGCAAAGTCTCCATGGTCATGCCGGTGGGTCACCATGGGAACCACATCTCTGTGACTTAGCCCAGGGTGAGCTTAAAAGCTGACGGGACAAAACACATCATGGGTCTGAGTTCCTGTTCTTTTTCTGAGTCTCCCTTAGAGACCAGACCCCTTGTTTTCGGAAAGTAACTCAAGGAATTGTCAGTTCTAAAGTTGGGGAAAGGAAGGTGAGAAGGGGCAGAACAGAGACAAAAGTAGGCCTGAAGCCAAGGGGACAGCACACTGAAATACGAAAGCATTAGGGTCTGGGAGTGCCCCTGCTCCAAACCATGAGCTCATCTAGAAGAAAAAATATATATATTTTTCTTCCCTGGCACAACAACTTAAACTGATTTGATATTAGTCTCCCTAAAAAGTAAGTCTTGACATATTAGTCCAAGACCTTGATTTTACCTGTTTTCCCCAGTTATAAAATCCAAGCACTTTTTTGTGTCTGAAGTTGACTTCATCAACCACCAGAGGAGCAAACTCCATTCTCTGCCTGTCCTGGGTTGAATAATATTCTCCTCTCCTCTCCGCCTCCCACCCCCAAATGCATGACTATTTGAAATCTATGAATGTGGAAATAGGGTGTCTTTGCAGATGAAATTAAAATATAAGTTTGTACTGGTTTTGTGCCTTAGACCCCTCAGGCTACTCTAACAAAAATAGAATGGGTGGCTTAGAAACAATAGGGATTTATATCTCACAGTTCCGGAAACTCTGAGATATAACAGGATGCCTCGCGGTCAGGTGAGGGCCTTCTTCTGGGTTCCTAGCCAGTGTCTTTACATGAAGGAAGAGAACTCTTGGGGGTCTCTTTTCTAAGGGCAGGAATCCAATTCATGAGGCAACACCCTCATGACCTAGTCATCCCCAAAGGCTCTACCTACTGTTACAGTCACAACTGGGGGGTTTGATTTCAATGTATTAATTTTGGTGGGACACAAACATTCAGGACATAACAGATGAGATCATAGTGGGTTAGAGTGGACTATAGATCCAATCACTGATGTTCTTAAAGAAGAGGAGACACACTGAGAGGAAAACACCCTGTGAAGACATAGACACCTGGGGACAAAGAGCATTGACAATGGAGGCAGGGATTAGAGTGATCCATGGGGCAAGTCAAGGAATGCCAAGGACTGTGGGCCGCCACAAGAAGCTAGGAAAAGGCAAGGAAGGATTCTTCCCTGGAGCCTCAGAGGGAGCATGGCCCTGCTGACAACTCGATTTCAGACTTCTGGCCTCCAAAACTATGATAGAATCTATTCCTGTTGTTTGAAGCCACCCAGCAGCCCTAGGAAACTGCCCAGTAGGTCCCTTTCTTGATGGTAGACAGACAGTCCATACTCTGCTGACCTTCAGGTTGACCAATGGATAATCATCAGGTCAGTTAAGCAGGGAAGCATCTCTAGGAGGAGCTCAGATCATGGAAAACGGTAAAAAGAAACTTCATTTTGAATAAGGAAATTCCCTTAAGCAAATCCAGCACAGGGCGGAGTAGGAGTACCCTGCTGGATAACAGCATTCCAGTTCCCCTTAGAGAGCTGTCCTCTGCCCTCGCTGTACGCAGTGTTGGTGGAGCTGTCAACATTCCTTGACATCCCTTCACAGGGAGCCGCCACGTGACTCACACTTTGCCCCTTGGACTCCCTTCGGGATTTTTGTCCCAAGCACAGTGATGCCAGAAAGAAATAGCTGCACGTTGTCCATCCAGCTATTGGGCCCCAAAGGGACCATCCACCAGGACCTGCTGTCTGGATACGGGGAGGTAACCCAGACCGGTTCTACTCTTCCCGCCTCTGAAAGGCTTCCTCTTCTGTGGACTGGGCCAGAAGCAAGTGTATTGCCTGCAACCCAAAACGGTAATAGAGACATCCTCCGGCATCCAGCCACCTTAAACCTCCCTGTCCTCCAAGAGAGAGGGAGGACAGAAAGGAATTCTTGGGAGTATCTGATGAAATGTCACAATTGCCCTCCCCACATACACACAGAGCTGCATCTGTTGCAAAAGTGCTGCTAAAAATATAGTCAGCATGTTTTTCAAAGGGCCTGGTAAACAGCTCTCTGACATACATTTGTTTCAGAAGTCAATACAGGGCTAGATGAAGGTCCTCTCATCTGAACAGCCGTCACGTTTCTTTCTACCAGACGAGACGCATCACAGAACTGGCTGAGTTTCCCTTCTCTCCACATGTGCCTTTTGGTTCAGAGTTAAAGCTACTACCCGATCACAGTGCCTATATTCGTTGACAACTGGAAGTACATTTTTCTACCCCCCCCACCCCCACCCCCGCTTTTCCATTGTTTTTGATCTTTGCTTTTCATTTCAAATGTTTGTTGTAAGACACTTAATATCTCTTGTGGAAATAGGTGAGATGAAAATAAATAAATAAATAGACACAGGCATCAAATGATTTTCATAATCTTACCAAGCGAGATCCGTAAGTGACCTAAATTTAGCTTTCAGAAGCATTTGTTCATTCCCCAGACATAGCTTAACTGGTGTTGGGAAGAAGATAGACTGGGACAGAAAACAAAACATGCCTCACCTCGTCTTCCTGATGTTGCGATGTGTTCATGTTATCATCAAACTCGGATGCCATTACCTTCAAAGACCTGCCTCAGACCCCTGAAACATGTCCTGCCACGTGTGCGGCAGCATTCACGAAATAAACCAGGCAAATTCCTACACCACCAGTCAGAGATCCCAGAGGCCACGGGCCAGGCCACACCCTCACCTCTCACTAGAACTGTGTGGAAAGTACAGGACACACTGCTCTTGTTTTGCTTTCATATTTTTTAACTGAACTGGTGTGCTCACCTGAAAGAAATGTCCTGAAAGGATTTCACTGGGTGACCATTTAGCCAAAGCAAAGCCATCTTTGTTTTCCAACCCCTCTCCTGTCCCCAGGGCCTAAAATGAACAGCCACACCAACTTCTCTCCAATCTGAGAAGCTATTGTGCAAACATGAATGAGTCAGTTACTCTTTCTTTGCCTTGGGGAGGAGGGGAACAAAACAAAACAAAACACAGATGGGACTCCTCACATAACCCAGACCAGAGGAGTGAAAAGATGAATATTTTCCATGGTCAGCTGTAGGATGGTATGTAAATGCAGCATGGGTCATTGTACATTATTAAATTTCTGTTGCACTTGAATTAGTTATAGAGTGACATTCTGACTGTTTCCTCCATGTAGTTCTCATAACTCCACCTGCTTGACATTTCCTTCCTCTCCATCCCACGTAGAACAGGCCCCACTTTGTGGGAGAGAGGCCACCCTGCAGAACTTCAAGAACACATTCCAGGGACGCTGTTGCTGGGGCACACACAGGAAATTTCAAACACACGCGGATAGCCAGGGTTAATCGGCCCCAGGACTTGATCATTCAAGAACTACCCCTGGAAGAACAGAGACAGTTCTTCATAATAAAGAAAAAGAATTCCAAATCCTTTCACCTCCTTATAGCCCTCGGGGACAAAAACTCCTTGAGTTAACCAAATAGACCGCTTGGCTTCTGCTCTGAGTGGGCACTCAGAAAAATCACAAAGATTAAAAAGCTTAGTGCCCATTGTCCAGAAGAAATGCGGAGAGCAGCAAGTGTACTGGGAGAAGTAGGGGAAGTAGGGTGCCAAGAACTGAGATTTATCAAAAAAGAAAAGAGAGAGAGAAGACATAAAGCGATGACCTCACACAAACATGACCCTTGCTGCACCGAGGCAAATGCCAGGCAGAAGGTTATGATGTGCCCACACTCCATCCCCCTCCTGGTTTTTCCTTGGGTCACAGCCAGGACTTCCAACGGCATCACACATGAGCTTCAGCAGGCTCTAGCTCCTACCTAACTTTAAGATAACTAGTTCAAGCACAGATTTCACTCTACTGCATATTCTCCCGTCTTGGATGAATCCAAGGAGCATTACCTGCCAAAAGTCCCTGAAGGATCTTGTTGTAATGTGGTGGGGGAGGAGGTACCTTGGCCCCCTCACCTGGCTCTGTGGTGTTAGTGCCCAGCCCTGAAGCACAGGCATTAGTGACTTCTCATTTCTCCCCTAACGTGTCCCAGACAGGGGAGGAAAAATAGAAACATATCCCTAGAGGCTTGCCAGCAAGGGTCTTGGGTACTCTGTATACTCCCCCCCAACCTCGCTCCCACCTACGCTCAAGCCCAAACTTCCCCCAATGCCTGTGGTTAAGCTTAAAAATTCATGCAGAATTTGCATGCTACCATTCCATAATTTAGCTTTGTTTTATTATAAAAACATTTCAAATAACTTGCCACTAAATGGACTTATATTCCATGAAGCTACACCAAGTCATCTTATGGGTGAATATGTTTTGCTGGGTCACCACCCCACAAGGAGGCTGGGTTTCCTTTGGTTTGAGGAGCACAGACTTAAGCAGGTCTGGCCAAGAAAGGTGTTTGGTAGGTGAGCGACAGTCTTATAACTTGATGCAAAGAAGGAGTTTTCGCCAATGGGGTGGTGTGCCTGGCTCTCTATCCTCATTGTCCTCTTGGGGGAAGCTATGGGAAACATGATCTGCTCATGCTTAATCTCTCAAATCTTAAAATGGCTGCAAAGCTCTGCATGACCTGGCCCCTTCCCAGCCCTTATGCTGTTTTTCTTTGCTCACTGCATTCTAGCTTTGGCCTTAATGAGCCTCCGTTCTCAAAGTAGCACCTGCCTTGCTGTAAATCCCCTACTTCAGTAAGAAGGAAATGCTTCCACTCTTGGTGCATGTGATTCTAGGCTCTCCTCTAATGGGTTGTCTAGGAACCCAACCATCTGGGACTTGCTCTTTCAGGGATCTTCCTGCCACCAGCCCTTACTCTCTTGGACACTATTGTTGACTTCCCAATATCCACTCCACCCTTCCTCCACTTTAGAACAGTCCTGCAGTCTTGGTCCCAAAGTAGCTGCAAGATTTAAATCAGTCATGGTAATCCTCTTCCTCTTCCCACAATTCAGGAGTGGGTATATGACTTCACATCATCCAATCAGAGGAACCCCAGGACTTTTGTTCAGTGTTGGAGGAGAAACAATCTGTGCTTGCTTGCTTTCTCTGCACAAGAATGCAAGTATCCTGGGAGCTCTTGGCAGACTCCGTGTAACCAGCATAGGAGTCCACCTTAGAATGAAGCTGATACACAGAAGGCAGAGAAGAGATGGTGAAATAAACTAGGTCCTTGGTTACATCTCTGAGCCACTGAATTAAAGTCATGTTGAGGCCCACCCTCTGGAATGTCTATTTCCAAGAGCCAATAACCATCTTCATTATTAAGTTTGATTTAGGATATAATTCTGCCCTTGGTGAGTTTGCAATCCAGTCAAGGGGAGAGAAAACTACATAATATAGTGAATACTAATCTAGAGGAAATACAATAAGATACTGAGAGGCAGAGAGCTGGGCCACCTAATCCAAACTTGTAATCCAAATTTGAAAGAATTGACCAAGATTTGGTGAGCAGATAGCATTAGACAGGCAGTGTGAGGGAAAGAAGAAAACTAAAAAAGGGAAATTATAGAGTTCCAACACAGAGAGAATATGTGCAAAAGATTTAAAGTGAGAAAGAACATGGTGCTTTCACACAACTAAAAATGGCCCCACGATTTGGTACTGTCTTAAAAAGCAGCCACTGAGAGTGTGGTTACCCTGGATCCTGCCAGAGATCCTGCTATGCTTTTTAAATTAACTGTAGCCTGACAGCCATTCCCTGATGCCATATTCAACCCCAAAGCATCCTTGCACAAACAGCACAAGCAGAGGCAGAAGGTAAAAACCCACCAGGTCTTTGGGAGCCCCACAGGCTCTAACCCTCTGCCCTAGTTCCAGTACTAGCCTAAGACCTCCCTCAATTCATCTGATTCAAATCCCTCCTTACCAACCAGGATTTTCCCAAGATATCAGGTCCACAGGCTCTGTTGTTATCTAGTCATCGCCTATTTTCATCATTTTCAGATTCAACTATTTGTAACCCCACAATCAATACTCATGGTGCTCTGGCTTTCATTCAATGACATTTGCAGAGGGATGAAATATTTGAGTCCCTTGACATATACATTCCCAGCTGCTGTCCATGCTGTGCCTTCTTGTTTCAGCTCTCATACTAGTAAAGTGTCCTTTTCACAATCTATTTAGTGTCTTTTATTTTCCTTTGTCTTTTTGTGCTTTTTAAAGTGATTTCAGATCCCCAGGCATGGTGCTAAAGTGCTGCCTAGTGTTCCTTAGTACAACAAGAAGGCTCAGTGTGCCATATGGATAATACTAATGTTAGATAAGTTTTATTCAGGCATGAGTTATAGTGCACTGGGCTGTGAGGTCATTGTTAAAGAATCAATAATATATTTAAATAAATTTTCTCTCAATAGAAACACACATAAAACAAGATTATGTATTGATCGACTAACAAAAATGTTGTGTCCAGATGCTTACAGGAAGCTAACCTTGAATTTATCCTGGGAGCAATGGCTCAGCATTGGGTTACTCAGCTTTCAGAGCAACTTTATAGAACACAGTACATGAATAAGGAGAAGATACTATATAGATCACAAGGACTGGAGGTTGTTTCTCTAGCTCAAATATTTGTTCCTATATAAGTTAGTATAAGTGTACCACTCAGCAAACAAATCCCCAAATTTGTAACAGTTCAAATTCAATACATGTTTATATCTTGTTCGCATATCAGTTTTCAGTTGGCAAATGAGTCAACCTAGTGATCCTCCTCCACTAGGTTCTTTAGGAATTCAGGCTGATGGACGCAGCCATTACAATACATATCTCACAAAGGCACCTGGGCATTATCCTCATTTAGCCCAAAGGGAAAAGGAACATGTATGAACGCATCTGAGATGCTTTGATTGGCTAGACATGGAAGTGGCACTCATCACCTCTATTCATATTCCATTGGCTAGAACTAAGTCACATGGCCATACTTAGCTGCAAGGGAGTCTGGGAAATGTAGTCTGTCTGATGAACAGGAAGAAGAGAACAAGATTTCCTTAACTGCTAGCAGTCTCTTGACACAGTTTGTTTGTTTTAAGTTACTCATGGAGTAAAGTTCATACCAAGACCTGTGACCACCTCATGAAGATTAATAACTTGCTCCCTTCACTTCTTTAAATATCTGCTCAAAGCTTATTTTGAGGCAAAACTGAGATCTGTGTGGCAGTAGGGAAAAAGAGAGTTATACTATGACCTGAGAAAATTCTGCCCAAACCCTTGCTCTGGTTCCTAAGCTGCATCTAGGTCTGATGAAGATTCCCAGCTGCTCTCTAGGGCTGCCTATACATGTAGCATTTTCCTAATTCTCATGGGAATTAGAGTCCTTGGATGTCATTTAGCCCAAAGGTTGAGGGAGGGTCCTCAGGCCCCTGTGAGGCCAAGGAATCCCCCGGAGAAACCACACAGGCTCAGCAAGCCCACACCCTCAGACGGGGTGGCCCAGAGGGCACCCAGCTGGAGGTAGGGAGTGCTGAGACCTTGGCAGCTCCCAGAGGCAAGAGGAAGGTAGGTCATGCCCCGCTAGGCAAGGCTTGAGCCAGATCCGACTTTAGCTGTCTGAGCCCCTTCCCACACTATGAAGCCAACTATGAGGAACCTGAAAGGAATGTCACAGTATGAGAGGGACTTCTGGGTAACAATGGCCTGAGTGAGACAGAAATAATGGGACTGCATCTCCAGCCAAGGTTCTAAGAAGGAGGAAGCCCTTCTTTGTGATTTGA